AAAACTCGATATTTTTTCAAAAAACTCGGTATTTGCACTTTTTTAGGCAAAACCGAACCTTCCTCTAGGTCCTTGCACCGGACCAAATAAAAACTCCAGCTTTAGGCATGTATAAGGATTTATTTGGGACAATTTTTTTATTTTATTTTTTTTATCACAATCTCAATCTGCTTGACTGCTATTTTCTTACTACTTTTTAAATATTTTTGTATCGGGAATTTGTTTTTTTTTCTTACAAGAATTGCTAATATATGTTAGCTTTAAGGAAGTATATGTTCAATTTTAATTAAAAAATATATATTTATAATATCAACAATAGCTTTTTAAAAAATAATTTTACCCACAACAGCTTCACAATCACTTTTAGAAAATACAGTAGCCATCCAAACATATGCATAGCCTAAGAGTCCTAGATATAGGCTTCAGTTGAGACAGCTTTCTTACTACTTCTTAAACTGCTTTCTAATACAAATATTTTAATTTTTGTATGTAAAAGCTGCTTTAAGAAGCAGTAAGAAGCCATCACAAACGAAGCCATAATATCATATCTATTTAGGCTATGTTTAGGGTAGCTTAAACTTTTCTATTTTTTGTTTTTAAATGCCGCTTTCTCAACTAAAATTAAAAAATTGTTAATCGAAAAAAACAACTTTTAAAAATAAAAAATTTGAAATATCGATTACAAAATCTTTTTTTTTTAAAGAAACATTTAGTTCAATTAAAATAAACTCATACGCACATATAATTAAAAGTTAAACCAGCAGCGACTTCAACAGACCAAAATGGGCTGCCTAAAATATATATTTTAAATAAAAAAATTTTACTAACTATTTTTTTTTACTATGAAAACGTCAGCTTTATGTGTAAATTACTAAATTTACAAGTATGGGAATGCAAAAAGTTTTGAACAAAATAATAATGGTGTTGGTACAAAAACCAAAAGAAGAAAATTGATGAAGACGTTCATGGCGTCAACGCAAGTATTGTTTGAGTAATGTTTCAGTTTTTATAGAATACTGACTGTAAGAGATCTGTGATCTCTTATTGACATTTATGTCTTAAATTTATGCAGCCCACGCAACAAAAATGAGCCATCATTATTGTTCGGATTTGACAAATCTTTCTCTATCGCTGTACTGTGATAAGATAATGTGAGTATGAACTGTAGCCGTTTGGATTTTTCTTTTTGTTATAAGGGCAGGCCAGTGACGCAATATTTGGATCCTTCTCTCATGTTAAAGATAATACTCACTAAGTATGTACATATATGTTGTATGTTGGAACAATAATGTCTCTTGTATTGATAGCAGTAGTGTTAGAGCGTTTGAAGTATTATCGAATCATAATGAGCAGTCAGCTTGTTCATTCTCTTGATAGAAAAGAAGATTGACTATTATCAAGACGGTTGTTAGATGTCGATGGGGTTGTTAGGTGTCGATGGTTGATAGGCAGTGGACATTAGTTGTGGTAGGCATTAGGTGAAAATCGATAAAAATGATCATAGTTCAATAACATTGGGCAGACTAATTTGATCATTCTTCTTATCAGAGAGGAGATTAACTAATATAAAAGCTTGAATTGGATTGTGATATCTAATGAATGCTACTCTTTGACATGGATGTTAGTGATGGTTAATATAGAGCATCAATGATTGGTTAATATTTAGTTTGGCTTGTCATCTTTTTTATAAAAGAGGAGGTTGGATGATCCGGAAAGTTTATGCTGGAAAACAAATAATGAGGAAATGTCAAAGTTCAGGTTACATTATATGATATAACCCCACTACGTCTCCAATAACCAAGAGAGTAGGTGTCTAATGTCGGTGGATTTCAGACTTTATTCTTTCTTATATATCAACTATAGTCTAGAAATGAGCATGGAGGGAAATTGATGTTGGTACAATTGAGTTGTTGGTCTCTTTATAGAAGAGGAGATTGTAAATCTAAGAAGGCATATGTTGGATGTTGCTAGTCTGTAAGTGTTAGCTGGTTATGATGGCAAGCAGTAGCACTAGTAGATGGATGACGTCTAATGATTGTGATGGCAAGTTTGGACATCAGTTTAAGATTGGCTTTTGACTATGGCAATGTTAAGTATGAATGAATAACTAATGTCAAGTGAAAATGATAACATGCATCATTCAACTGCCTATTTCAAGGAAATGAGATGATGATTGTGAAAAAAGGTTGTGTATGATGATGATGATAGCAAGCATTTGTATTAATCTGTAGTTAGAATAAATGAGTGTCAATGGTGAGTGTCAGCCAGGGTTGAAGATTGATATCCATTATATTGATGGTGAAAATAGTTATTAATATTGGTCGGTGATTATCGTCAACATCTTACTAACATATCTAATGAATGTTAGGTCTTACAATTCTTTCTACAAAAGGTCCTCACATGAATGTGAAGAAATATTACTTAATCACATATTTATATCATGTAATTCTTCATAATTTATGCCAATAACCCTTAACACTCAATTGGACAATCTTAATTGATTCCTTATGGTTATTTTATATATTTTGGACTTCTATATGCCTTATTGATCTTGGAATTATGTGATTTATGAGTGCTTAATTTAAGTATATTTTGACTCAAGTCAAATTATTTTTGTCATTATTAGGCCCCTCTCAATAACAACGTTATAATATCCAATTATGCAATTAAAAGTAGTGACCTATCATAATATCCACAAACTCTAATTTATTTTGAACAAAATTTGAGTTATTTTTAACTAATTATGAAAAAAAAAACATAAGCTACTTTTCAATTCTAAAAGCTTCACAAAAATTAATTTTCATCTTTCCAAGATTCAGGGTAGGTAGTTATGGGGGGGGGGGGGGGAGAGAGAGAGGGAGAGAGTTTTTCCTGTAGTGAGAGAGAGAGAGAGAGAGAGAGAGAGAGAGAGATGGAGGGAAGAGAAAAGGTAAGGTTTTAAAGGTCTTAGAGCCATATGCTTTCATATAAAATTACCATTGTGACATCAAGCTAAGGCATATGCTTTAGTGAGATTGTAAATGCTCAAAACATTTAGTTGTTGAAGCATCTTCTTTCCAAGCACCATCTCCTTCCAATCAATATTTCTCTTTGAGTGATCTCTTTGTCTTAAAGTCTCACTATGAGCTCCTTCAAATAAACAAAAATTACTACACATCTTTTTTTGGTTTTGGAAGTCTCAATGTAGTCATCCATCCATAATTATAATAGGAATGAAGTTAAGAAGAATCTTGAATTAAAAAAAAATTAAATTCTAACATCACATACAAGTTTGATCCTTTTTTTATATATAATTATTATATAAGTTTGATCCTTATTTGAACAAGGATCAAACATTCATTTTGAATCTAGGTTTTGAGCATTCTTGAACAAGATTTGAATCATATTCAAATCCAGTTCAAATCTTGTTTGAATGTGGTTCTAAATATGTTTAAGCATGATTTGAACTAACTGCTATGCTATTTCAAATACATAAAAATAATCATAAAGATATGTTGAAGTTAGAGGAGACTAATATGAAGTAAATAATGTAGATGCTTGACAGCTTGAGGAGGGAATATATTTTTATTTTTATGTCAACCTCCTAAAGCATCTTTAGTTTTAACTTTATAGTAGCCTCCTTTAACTTTGACCTATTTATAAATGTTTCCTATGCACACATGAAATTTAGAGAGCATAAGAGTTCCTTCAAACGTCATTTGAGCATGGTTAAGGCCTCGTTCCAACATCATTCAAATAAAACTTGAACATAATTTGAAATTCATTCAAATAAGATTTGAATGTGATTCATTTTATAATGCATAATTCTGCATTCATCTCCTTCATTTATTTATAGGACAATGAATGATTGTATTCATAATAAAAAATTTAATACTAACTTTTCATTCAATTATTGAGGGCCGTAGACACATTATTTATACTCAAATTAGTGCTTTTTCATAGTTGTAAAACTATTTAATATAATTATATGTGATGTAAAAGGATGATTTTTGAGTTTGTAACGATTTATCAAGTAACTAATGTTATAATGAAATTAAGTATTGATATAATTTTATTGATTGGTTATATTTGATATATTTAAGTATTATTAATTCATATAATGTCACATTCCAGGATCTACATTGGAAGAATTACATCTGCCTTTTATTTTAACTATTTAACTAGAGCTTATTAATAAATAATGAAAAGAAACATGATTTTATTTAGAACCATATTTAAACCTCATTCGAATCACTTTTAGCAATACTCAATTAAATTTTGAACATGTTTAAATAAGAGTTTATCTTGATTCGAACATTATTCAAACAAGATTGTGATAATTAATACGATGTCTAATGATTTTTAAGATTAATGATTTAATGCAAGAATAAGGTTTAAACGAGGTTCTAAGCTCTTGTTATAAGTTCATACCTCATTCTCCATTGTCTCATTCATTTTATAACCTAAATTTGTGAGTATTTGCTAAGTATTTAATAAGTTTTTGTTGAATATTGATTAAGTATGTGCTAACTTTTGTTAATTGGCTGCTTATTTACTGAGTATTTACTGAAAATTTTAAAATTAATAGTAAGCAATAATCCGGACAATCCTCTTCATTAGGAGTTCGCACATAATAATTTAACATGATTATCACGATTTCTACTTCGTTTGGTTCTTCCTCTCGTTTTGTAAAAGATAGTTTTAGAAACAAATCAACAATGATTAAGAAAATAGAGTTTTTCAAAAGAAAATCAAATGTCCAAAGCTTTTCGAAATAGTAAAAAAAATAAATTTTTTTATAAAAAGCATTTTTATAGAAGTATCCATCCAAATAGCTACCAAAAAATTATTTCTGTGCAAAGAAGGGAAAAAAATGCCGAAGCAAAGGAGGCCTACTAGACTATGTAAAGCCAAATTTCACAATTTCTTCAACATCCGATGCATGAAAAGCCAAATTTCCAGATTTCTGATGTATCAGCTTAACGGATCTGTCATGGGCGGTCGCCGCGACACACTAGCCTGCTGCTGCCGAGCACAAGTCCCTCGCCGTGGCCGCCGATATCAAGAAGGCAGTTTCCGGTTGCCGTCTTCAAGGGAAACTGGAATATATTAGGTGCAGAGGGTATAAGGCATCGGCCCTCGACCCCAAGAAAAATAAAGGTTTTCGCTCCTCAACACCTCCTCATCATTTCTTGGATTTCCCCCTCTCTAACATCCAAATCTTGAATTTTTTTTTCTTTTTTTTGTTCAATTCCTTTTATTTTTTTCCAATTTAGTTTTGGGAGCAGTCGACATTAAGGTGTTCCTGCTTGATTAATTTGTCTTAGGTCAGCTTTGTGGTCGGGGAGAAAATTCTGAAATAGGGTTATGTTCCAATTTATATTGCGGCATAACAGAAAAGGCGTAGAATTTCACGCATCTCCAACCGTGGCGTCCCTGGCCAGCTCCAGCCTAACCTCAAATTTCTCTCTATTTGGCTGTGGGTGAACAGTGGGACGTCAATATTGGCGTTGCACTGTTCATCTCGGCCATTTTTACCTCTCTACCGAACTTGGATTGGGATTCAGATCGAATGAGAATAGCTTATCTGAGCCAGGAAAGTCAGCCTACGATAGGTCTGTGAAGAGAGTACCGTTACCTCCAAAAGTGTGAAAAATGGAGTTCAATTGGAGATGAATGGCAGCATTTTGTAGCTTCACGGCATTTTGGAGTGAAACATGAGATTTTCGGTTGGAGATGCTCTCTTGCTTTGGCGTTGGAGGGGATGAGATACGGCAATCCATCTTTATACTAACATTGTCTCTTCAGTGCCAGTTCTTTCTGAAGTAAAGAAAAGAAAAAGGATTTCATCCTTTTCAAGGCTAACCAGGGCAGGTAATAGCTTGAGATGCCGGTTGTTTTAACAATTTGCTGTTTGTCCTACATTCAATTGGTATAATTTCTTTCGTGTTATTTTGTTGTGTTTTTACAGTCTTGTATAAAATAAAATTATCATATTTCTATGCCTTAGAGAAGCTGTTCGTGCAAAATAGGGAGTTTTCAAGCACATTTCTATTAATCAAAATTGCTTTTCGAAAAGTTAAGCATGGAAAGGCTACCAAATAAAGCCTATATACTATTTGACATAATTTTATGCTATCCGCTTCCACTTTTTGGAGCAATAGAAGAAGTTTTAGGATGTTTGAAAAAACAATTGTGAGAAAATGTTCAGTTGTCTGAAAGCAGAAGAGTAGTTTGCTTAGAATGAAAAATTAGATGGCTTTTCAGAAAAAGCAATTTTATTGATTTTAGCTTTTTATCTTATAATTAATTAGAATATTTATTTATTCAATAGATTAGGATATGTTATTTATGATTTTATGGCATTCATTCAAGTCATTGAATCAACTCATATTAGTTAGATAGTAGTTGTTTATCAAATAATCATGACTGTTGCAGCAATTTAAATAAATTTTAATATGATTTTAGAAAATGGTCATCTATTCTACTTGACAAATCAGCATAATTCAACATAAGAAAACAATGTCAAATTAAGCTTGGAAGTTGTGCATTCAAGCAAGCAACATATTCATGCTGTCTAGTAGCATATGATGCCACTCATCTGCCTGAGCATCTTCATCTCTGCAACACTTCACTAAATATTATGCTTCTCTTTTAATGGCCAACATTCTGCACCATAAAGCATTACAGGTTTCACCATCATCTTATAGAATTTTCTCTTAAGTTTGTGGGGGACTTTTCTATCAAACAACAAGCCCGTTGCATTCCTCTACTTCAATCCAACTTGAATTCTACAGCATTCGTTCTTGTTGAATGTTGTATAAAATGTTAAACATATTCTTCATAAATCATTTTGAACAATTGCTTTCCTTGTAATCTTGTTTACCAGTTTTTCTTTATAATTCTCCAACACTAACTTTATCAATTTATTTAAAGAGTGTATTTTTTACCCTTTGTTGCACATGTCCAAATGACCTATATCTATTTTCATTCACTTGCATCTTCAATGAATATTATTGATGAGGACATCGTCAGCAATTTCGACATGTGTGCCATCGGAGACACCGGAGATCGACGGCCACGATCAGGAGTTTTATTTATTTTGTCATGTTATGTAGTAATTTGTTTTATTTTAGTTTTTCCATTTTTACCCTTATGGGTATTTGGTCTCTATTGTAGCCCAAGGGGCATTTTAGTCTTTTGTTTCCGTTGTCATTTTGAGGCCTATATATATGGTCATTTCTTATGTATTGAACTAATGAATGATGAATGAAAAGCTATGTTTGTTTCTACTTTTCTAGCATGAGTGCTTGAGAGGGAAGAGAGCTCAAGGGGAGCAATTCGTAAGGCCCACCAATCGTTGGAAGAGTCCGCGATTCGTGATTAGATTTATTTTCTTTATCTTCTCGTTCGTATTCGTATCCATCTCCTTCCCATCTCCACTTGTCGCCGCCCCCCTTGGAAGTCCACCGCCGGCCACATCCCCGGCCCCGGCCAACCACCCTGCCGTCGCACCCCCCCTCACCCGGCCACCCCATCTCCACCTCATACCCAAATTTGAAATTTGAATTTTAAATTTCTACTTTCCCGTGGACAAAGACTTCCGGCATCTTCTTCCTAGTGGTGATCTCAATTCTAGTTGCAAAATCTTCTCTCGCCAAGCCTAGTGTAGTCGAGTGAATAATCCCCAAGGTGAAATTTCTCATTATTAAATTTTGGATTGTTGTTTAATAGCTCTTAGCTTTGCTACTATTTTTGTTTATCTCCGAGGATTAGTTAATTTACATGTACTCCTTCGCCTAAGCGAGTTGAAAACCAAGAATCTTTATTGAATTATCTTGTCTCGACAATAAGCTTTCAAGTGAAATTAAATTGTTTAATCCTTCTTAATTGTCTTAATGAGCTCCTACGCATGTTGGTTTCACATCAATTACTCTAACATTTCTTCTAATATAATCATTCTTTAATATATTCTTTTTATTTTTTTCCTACATCTATCTTAATGTTATTATTTCCATTACATTCAATTTATATATCAATAACCTTTTTACAATTCAATATTCAGATCCATACATTGCCAGTCAAATTGTTGATTTATAAGATATATCTTTAAGCCTTCATAATATTCTCTTATCAATCAAAATGCTTGAGGCATTTGACCATCCAATCATAAATCAAGATGTTAAATTCTTATCCGTCTCATTTCTTTTGTATAATATATCCAATATATCTAAACCTATTACGCTAAAGTATCATCTTATCATTTAATAATATTTTAATGATAATTTTTAAATCTTTCTCACTAAAATTATATATTATATACTCGATCTTTCTTCCACTAATTCTAGAACTTCTATCTTTTAAATTTTTCAACCATTGTTCTATTTCCTCACTAGTTTAAGTGGATGTTTCATCAAGTAGAATTAGATTATTTGCAAAAAAAATACCTATCAAGTCACCTCACTTTGAATATTCTTTGTATCTCTACAAATAATTGAAAAATATATGAACTCATTGTTGATCATTGATGCAAATCTATAGTAACTGAAAACTCTTTATCCATAACAACTAATATTCATTAATAATCCATTATACATATCCTTAGTAATGTCAACATATCACTGGCACATACCTTTCCACATTAAACCTTAATCATTCCTTCTTAAGTTTAATGAAAAACATATCAGGGTCTTTTCTTTGTTCTCTATGCTTCTCCATTAACTTTCGTGACATAAAAAGTATTTCCATAGCAGATGTTTCTAGCATGAAACCAAATTGGTTTCTTCAAAATTGATACAATTTTTCTATGTCGTTGTTCTATTACTTGCTCCTATAACATCATTGTATAACTCATAAAATTGATTCTTATATAGGTTGCATAATCTTGAACATTGGCTTTGTTCTTAAATATTGATGTCAAAATGCATCTTTTACAATCATTTGGCATCTTTTACAATCATTGTATTGTCTCCCATAACTCTCCAAATCTCAACAATATCTCATGAGAAATTTTGGTCAGCTTTTTTTATATTGACACCATTGCCTTCTTTCTTCCTGCATTAAAGCAATTGCTTGACTTAGCCATCAAAGTTTTTCATATAATTGCTCGCATAGAAGCAATTGCTTTACATAGCTATCAAATTAAGTTTTATGCAGTACTTAAGTGTAGGACAAGTCTATGAACTAGGGTTAAGCATGAACTACAAGCATGAGGTGCTGATGAGATTCTTTAGTAAGATGTTGCATGGTTAGGCAGTATTCATTAGTGAAAACTGCTGTTTGAGACAAACAATCTTGGCTTTGGTTTGTAGAAAGAAGATCGAAGATAAAAACGAAAAAGAGAAAATAAAAAACAAGAGACAAAATATTAAAGATACAACCGCGAGCCCGGACACATCCTGCAGCTGACGGGTACTACGTTGCCCTTCTCCAAGGGACTTCACGCCACGAGCCCGGACCCATCCTGCGGCTGGTGGCAACTCCAAATCCCTCCCATAGGGATTTCACTAACGTTCTTCCCAAAGAACACAAGTGCAAAAACACAAATTTTATTAATAATCCATCATCCTAATACAAGAGCAAATGTCTCTATATATAGGCTTTAAAAGAAACTAAAAGACAATTTTGCCCCTTGGGCTTACATAAAACAAATCCCTTAAGTAAGGGTAAAACAGAAAAATGCATAATTAAATAAAAATTACAATTAATAAAATAAGATAAATTGAAGGGATCTCAGCCGTCGATCTTCAGCTCCTCCTCGAATAGGCATGGACGGTTGGATGTCTGCATCATTCAGTGCTTACCATTATAGATGAAAGCGCTTACCATTATAGATGAAAGCACCTGGATCATCAAATTTGCTATATAGCCCAAAGCTTGATTGAGCTATGCGTTCTGAATGTTAAGTTGCCTTGAAATGCTCTATTAGTTCCTTGTGAATCTTCCTTTTACCTTCATTCCACTTATTGCTTGAAAATGTTGAAACATTAGGGAAAGAGAGCATTAAATAAAGTTGTGATGCGAAGTTTTCATGTTGGTATGTTATGCAACATACAAAGGAGGCAACATCAACATTACAGGTAGATAGAATTAATCTTAAAGAATTATGAAGGTTAAGGGTAGAACAAATGTAATGATAACAAAAGTTACGTACAAAGATTTACATAAAGCTAAGTCCAACACCTAATATAGAAATCTTAAATAATATATATATAAACATGCGTGCATGCGTGCGCACACACGTGCACACTCACACAAAAAAAGAGAATTTATAAAGATGATCCTAAATAGTTTTGGATAAGGCTAATAATGATGATGAAATTATATTTCCCACTCTTCACATCCTCTCGGGTAAAAATGGACCTGTATTTCTCTTTTCATGAAAACATCTCTGTTTGGTGTGTTTTTCTTGATTAATTTCCATGCAACATGGGACTACTGTTTCTGCCCTATATCTCAATATCCAAGTAGCAAAGGTGGTTTGTTAAGTGAATCCTATGAGGTTTTTTGCATAACATGGAAAAAGCCTCTAGGCAAGATTTGTTCTGCAATATGCTCACCACAATATCTTGTAATAGATTATTTTGACTACTATTGGCAAGCAGCAATCTGAAAGCACAGCATGCCCTCCTTTAACCATTTATAGCCTCATTTGATGGCCATTGTGCAAAGACACTACCTGTAGTAAATCCTAGTTTAAATGAGAAGTGGGTTTGTTCAAAAGTTATGATGAAATTAAGCTATCTTCGCGAGGCCCGATATCATCTATTTGCGGCCATCTTTATGAATCCTCATTTTTCATTTATCTCCTTAGAGTGTTACATAAGGTGTTAAAATTTTTTTCTTCATGGATCATTTTAAACAATTTCTACCCATATTACCTAGGTATATCATTCCCCTTCCTAAGGCTTCAATACTAATTTTATTTAACCACCTAATAAAAATGCATTTTCTATCTACTGTTGTACATTTACAAATTACCTAGCTCTATTTTCTATTGCCTTATCTTCAATGGATGACACTCACACAATTCCTCTAATATAATTGGTGCATTATTATCTTTCCTAATATTGTCACAAATTCATCTTAAAATTCTCATCCCTATTACCCTTAACTTTTCAGTCAATAATATTTTTACTATCCAACGCTTGAATCATATAACATTCATAGCCTTATTATAATTTTATAAATTGTAGTTTTAAGGCAATGATATCCTCTTATATTGAATACTTTTGAATTACATATTCTTTTTAACAGCACAACCTTAATACTAGAAGTTGTATTATCATATTTATTTTCATCATTCAATATAATAAATACAACGTAACTCTATTGCAACTTTGCATCATTTTATATTTTAATTATATTGATAGAAAATTATTTATGTTGCTCAAGTGAGTTAAGAGCTCAGTACATTTTATTGAGCTTTAATAAGGTGAGCTTATTGAGCTTAAAAGTTTTTTTTTTTTTTTTTTTTTGAACTTTGTTATTCCTATCTTTTCATATATTGTTGAGTATAACGAATTTATTCCTATCTTTTTGATTGTTTTTTAAACATAGTAAATGCTGATGAGCAGACATGGATAGGTCTGGATAGACTTGTGTTGGGAAATTTCTATATGTGGGCACATATATTTCTACATATAAATAAAGTATTATACATTATTAAAATTGATTGTTGAGTATAACGAATTTATTCCTATCTTTTTGATTGTTTTTTAAACATAGTAAATGCTGATGAGCAGACATGGATAGGCCTGGTTAGACTTGTGTGTTGGAAAATTTCTATATGTGGGCACATATATTTCTACATATACATAAAGTATTATACATTAGAAGCTATCTAAATTTGAACCAATTAAATTCATGATCTATTTAAGAATTAAATTATTATTTCCAAGGTTTTGAAAACCGGACCAGACAACGAACCAGTAGAAGGAGAGGTTCACGGTTCGACCGGTCGAACCGGGGTCGAACTAGATGACGTAATAAATAATAATATTATTAAAAAATATAAAATTAATGATACATTTTCCTCTAATACATTCATTCGGATAGTTCTTTGTAAGATTAAAAACATTTATATTTGGTTTCTCTTCTTTGACCATGCTTTAGATGACATCCCGACATGAAAACCTACATGACATTAACTTAGACTTCCAAACTCTAATTGGGTTCAAATAACCAATTCTAAATCACTTCCTGAATTAATTACTGGCAATCTTCATTAAAGAGTCTGTTGGTTCAGTTTATTTCTCAATAGTATATTTCAACCGTTTTTAGTCATTCAACC